TCAGTCCTGATCCTTCACCAGAGCAGAACTGCTCTCTATTATTTGTTCTCTCTCTGCCTTTGTTTAGACCTCAATTTACGTAGTTCCAGTGCTGGGGCTTTCTCCCATTCCCTGGGGAGTCCAACTGAGTTCCACATTAGGGCACAGATCATGATATGTGGTTTAAATTAATCCTGGTGACCCCTTCTCAAGCACTGAGCCATACCTCTCCATTCATGCTGTGTACAAGCCTTGCAGAGCTTCTGTTTGCCTGCACCCTTCAGGCTGCACATAGGTATGGATTCACTTTTCTCATACTGTGTTGGTCATATAGGCCTTCCCCTCTCAACGACGTGCAGCACTTCTGCAGCAATTTAGGATTTTCATGGTGTTCATGCTGTCTCCCTTCCATAGACAAACCTTCTGTGTTGTGTCTGTCACTCAAACTGTTTTCATAATCCTTCTCTTCCCAGCTCCAGGGCTAGACTCTCAGTCCCTAGCCCTGATACTGCCAAGACAACACTTTCTCACTGCAACTGTAAGATGACACCTAGCATGCTGATATCTGGGTGCTCTGTAAAATGAAAAACACCTTTTCAATGACAGGCCAGTGACATCTCAGGATCATGCACTGGCACCACAATACTGAAGGGCTAAGGAATGAGGAAAGCTTATCATATAAAAGAACCCATAGTAGTGGTTTTTTTAAATTGTAGGATTAAGCCTTTTTTCAGTCTTCATCAAGTCTCAGCTGGGTCACTGCATCCTAGCACTTCCACATTTCTATAGAATTGGTAACTAATCGAGTTTCCTCCTTCACTGTGGTCCACATTTCATCCCAGAGGTGGACACACTGCAATGCCAGACAAAGCCATTCATATATGGATTTCATAGACATTAGGGCTGGAAGGGACCTCACAAGATCATCAGATCCAGCCCCTTGCCCAAAGGGCAGGAAGTCAGCTGGGGTCAAATGCTTATTGAACATGGCCAGAGTAAGCACTTGCACCACTTCTGCGGGGAGTCTATTCCAGACTCTGGAGACTCGGACAGTAAAGAAGTTTTCTTATGTCCAGTCTAAAAGGGTCTTCCAGTAGTTTGGGACCATTTGACCTTATCTTCCCTTGGGGTGCCCTAGTGAACAGACATTTTCTCAAATCCTGATGCACACCCCTCATATACTTATAGGCAGCCACCAAGTCTGCCCTGAGCCTACGCTTCTCCAGGCTGAGAAGTCCCATGACTCTCAGCCTCTCCTAATAAGGCCGGCTCTCTTGACCTCTGATCATACATGTGGCTCTCCTCTGGACTCTCTCAAGCTTCTCCATGTCCTTTTAAAAGTGTGGAGCCCAGAATTGGATGCAGTACTCCAGCTGCAGCCTCACCAAAGCCAAGTAAAGCAGGAGAATGACACCGGGTCTTGCTTGAGATGGTCTCATAGATGCAAGCCAAGATTTTATTTGCTTTGCCGGCTGTGGCATTGCATTGGTGGCTCATATTCATCTTGTGGTCAATCATGACCCCCAAGTCTCTTTTGGTCATGGTGCTAATGAGTGTAGCTGTGCTGAGCCTATAAGTATGGTGCGGGGTCTTTCTCCCAAGGTGGAGCACCTTGCATTTCTCTATGTTGGTTTTGATCTGCCCACCTTGCAAGCCTATCCAGGTCAGCCTGAATCCCTGCATATCCTTTACAGTGACCGCACTTCCCCATAATTTGGTGTCATCTACAAACTTACCCAGTCCGCTTCTGACACCAGAATCCAGATCATTTATGAATACATTAAAGAGTACTGGTCCAAGTACTGAACCGGGGGGGCACCACTGATCACCATGTGCCATGTTGACTCAGTTCCATCGATGATCACTCTCTCAGTCCAACCATGGAGCCAGTTACCCAGCCATCAGACAGTAAGGCTGTCAAGGCCACAACTCCCCAATTTTACCATGAGGACATCTTGGGAGACCACATCAAAGGCTTTTTTGAAATCCAAGTAAATGACATCAGCTTGTCCTCCCCTGTCCAGGTGACATATCAGTTGGTCATAGAAGGAAATGAGGTTGGTCAGGCAAGACCTACCTGTAACAAAGCTGTGTTGGCTGTCTCTCAGGATGATGCCTTCCATTAGTCTGTTGTTGATGGATTCTTTAATATTTTTTTCCCAAGATCTTTCCAGGGATAGAGGTCAAACTGATTGTCCTGTACTTCCCTGGGTCTTCCTTCCTTCCCTTCTTGAAGATAGGTACCACGCTGACTGTGGCAGGTGCAGAGATCCCACCTCAGGAACACAGCTGGGTATTCGTATCCCTCTGCTGTTTCCACCATGTGAGGCGGGCCAGTAGGGGGTGCTCCTGCATTGAGCCACCCACCTCCCTGCGCCCGACCACCTTCCAGGCTCCGAATGCCTCCCTAGGGGCGCCTTATGTCCGGCCGACCCCTCTCCCAGAGCACACTCGCTAGTCTGGGGGTAACATGCCGCCACCACCCCAAGAATGGACTGTCTCGCGGCCCTGTGTCCTTGGGGTAACACAGGCCTAAAGTCCCACGGGTACTCAACCCAGTACAGGCACTTGGGGTACTTCCCCAAGTCCGGGGGCAAAAAGGTATAGTCTCCCTTAGTCCACAGACCTAAGGGGTCTCTTAGGCATAATTTAGACCCACCCCTCAATAAGTCTCCCACACCAGTCAAAAAGGAGAACTTTATTGATTACAGGGGGTAGGGTAAACTAGGGTACAGGATAGAGCAATATCTTGAAATCCTAAAGAGCAAACAGTCTGGCTGTGGTAGCCTTTTGATTACGCATCTGTGATACTTCCAGCTAAATATCTAATCAGATTGAGTAGCTTACTCACAAGCATCTTCCAAAGGCAGGTGAAGTTTCCCTTTGGAGGCAGGCGGTTCCTAGCTCGTGAGTTTGGGGGGAGAGAGCCAGTTTCAGATGTTAAGGCTTCTCTGTCCCCTGCCTGGCTGCTGCGTCACCTCATGGCCGGAGAGGCCAGACCGCCTCCTTCCCCGTCCTAACTTATATAGCCCCTGTGACCTCATTCACCTGGGCCAGCGGAGGTCAGCCCCAGTTGGCTGTCAGCCAACCAATCTGAAATGCATCACTTGTTACCGGGCAGATTCCAGCTCCCCAGGTAGAAACCCCTTACCCAGGTAAGTGATGCAAGTCACGTAAGCAGAGGGAGCAGGTTTCCCCCTCCCTCAGGAATGCAGCCAGCTCCAGTTCCCTAAAGAGACAGGCTGAGGGTGTGGTCCCCTGTGTGCTGGGCCCACCCTAATTGAATGGTCACAGCACAGAGATTTAAATCACAGTGTCACAGGGCAGAGATTTTTGGGGAGAAACCAAGGTGGCTTTCAGCCACACTGACCCTCTTTCAATCTTCAGGAACCTCTCCAGAGTGCCAAATATCCTTGCCATTGGCCGTGCTATGATGTCAGCCAACTCTTTTAGCACTCTTGGGTGCATTCCATCCGGGCCCACTGACTTGTGGATGTCCAGCCTCTCAAGGTGTTCCCTCACAAGGTATTCACAAATTGTAGGTGTATGGTCACCCTTACCCTGGTAATCCTGTGTCCTGGCAGGAAGGGTGATCCCCTTGGGCTGGTGGAAAGCCAACACAAAGTAATCACTGAGATTACCTGTTTCCTAGGTGTCAAGTGCTGGATGCTCCATTTGGTGCAACAGGGGCCCAATGTTTTCCTTATTTTTCTTTTGACTTCCCATGTATCTGGAGAAGGACGTTTTATTGTTCTTGATTCCTGTAGCCAGTTTGAGCTCGGTTTCAGCCTTGGCTTTTCTGGTCCGCTCCCTCTGGTCCGCTCAGATGCAGGCCAGTGATACATAATCCTTCTTAGAGGTATTTCCCATCTTCCAACCCTTATAAACTTCTCTTTTAATATTAAGGAGGTCATGAGTTCCCTATTGAGCCAAGGGGGTTGCCCAGCCCTTTTACTACCTTTCCTACAGGCAGAATGGACTTCCCTTGTGCTTTTAGGGTCACATCCTTAAGGAGTGACCACTCATCATGGACTCCCCTCCCTGTCAGATCATGATCTCTCAGGGCCTTGACAACCAACCTCCTGAGCTTGTGGAAGTCACCTTTCCTAAAGTTGAGGATTTCTGCATTGCTGACTGATTTGCCAGATTTGCAGTGGATAGACAAAGTGATCAACTTGTGATCGCTGTCACCAAGCTTCCCTTCGATCTTCAGGTCACTCACTAGATCATCCCCTTTCGCCTGATATACTACATTATATTATGCTAATGTCTTTCTGTCCCACCCTATAGTGACAGGCAGTAAGGCAAAGAAAGAGAGATGTCACAAATCACTCCATAATGTTGGTTAAGGCACCATGAAACATGAACTGGAGTGCAGCTAGTGAGCAAGCAAAGAGGACAGGAGAGAGTGAGAGATGGAAGGGGAGAACTGGAAGAAGAGGGACTGAGGAAAGAGAGGATCTGAAAGAGTCAGAAGACAGGAAAGTAATTGGTGAGAGATCAAGAGGAGGAAGGACAATGAACAGGAGAGAGGGAAGGCAGGAAAAGGAAAATCAGAGAAGAGTGTAGGCAAGTCGGATTGAATAGGTGAAAAAACAGTCTTTCCGTGCTTCTACAGCCACATGACACCCACAGAGCCCTCTGCAGCATCTCCTGTCTCTCTCAAGGCAGTACTTGCTTCCCCAAACTATGGAGCCATTTCTCCCACCACTGCCCCTTCAAGCTGGTGCCTGCATTTGATTTTCCCCCTCTTCCATGAATGATCACAACCACAGCAGCAGCTTATCTTGGCCTTTCTGTCAAGGCAGCAAAGCCCACGCCAGAAGGAGTAACAAAGAATGGTGCACATGAACCACCTGAGACAGACAGGCAACAAAGGACAAGGGCAATCCCTGAAGAAGGAGAGTCACAGTGAAGCCTACTATGAGGTACAGGACAGGAAGGAAGGAATAAAGGCATAAGAGGGAAACAAAGAGAGAAGAAGCAGGAGGGATGGCAGACAGACAAGGAGGCCTCCTCACCTGATTGGCTGGTGCTGACATTGATGGTTGCATACTGGGGAGCCTCAGAGCTGAGCTCTGTCACAAGGTTGACAGCCTGGATCTCAAACGTGTACTGCACACGAGCCAGGAGGTTGGAGACTTGCACACGGCTCTCTGTCAGCCCCACCTGACGTGGCTCAAACTGGACACTGTCCCCACAGCGCACGCAGGGCCCTGGGGAACCCGGCGGGCACACCTTGCAAATGACATTGAAGAAGACATCCTTGCGGCCACCCAGGTCCTTGGGAAGGCGCCAAGTCAGGAGCACATTGGAGCCGATGATCTCATAGCTCAGATCCCGGGGGGCAGAGGGAATGCCTGAAAGGAGAGAGAACACATGATCAAAAATCTATGAAATAGTGAGGGGGAAGCAGAGAGGAAAGAAGAGGTAAGGGAATCTGAAATCAAGAGGTCAAGATTGTGGGACAGGGCGCCCCTGGTCAGGGGTGGCACCTGCTGTGAAGGGTGGGTGGCACCCTGTGAAGGCAGAATTCAGCAGCCTCAAGCAAACAGCAACCCAAGGCAGTTCCCTCCCCTATTGCCCTACTTATGCTGCAGAGTCAGACCCATTCCCCAGCAGGATCCCTGAGTCTCACTGCTCCTCCTCTGTCTGCAGACATCTGAGACCCACTGGCAAAATGTGTGCCTCATTCCCAACAAGTGCTGATCCACACAGAAGATGACAACCAACTGGTACTATCAGTTACTCCATTAGCTCAACTGGCAGAGGACTGTGTGGTGGATCTAAGAGCTCCTGTTGGGACCAGGGCAACTCCACACAACAGAATTCCTATTTTATTCTGGTGATTTTTTTTGTTTGTTCTTTTAGCTTAAAAAAAATTGCTTACAAAAACTATGGAATGGAATGGAAAAAGTCAATGGAATGTCCTAGGGACAAGACCAAAAGTTATCAAAAGCTAGATTTAAACTTTCCTGTGCAATCTTAATCGGTCCCCTGTGCGTTATGATACAGGACATAATTAGATGATCAGGTACACTCTTTTTCCTCAGAACTCTTCTTCCATTCAGTGTAGAAAACAGACAGCACAGAGGAATGAGGCATGGTTTTGTAGCAGGGATGCAGTTGTCCATGGGACCTATGTCTTGTTTGCTCATTTGTTGTAGAGGGTGGAAGGTGAAAGATGTAGAGGACTGCAGAGTGAGAAGGTATGGCTCAAGGCTGTGGAAGCTGCCTGATGCCCTGGAGACCTGGATGCCATCTCTGCTTCTACCACACAGTTCCTGTGTTGTGCTGGGCATGTCACATCAGTTAAGCAATTAACAAGGGCTCACTAGCTGTTTTCTTTTTCTGAGACCCAGCTTGAGACCCTGGGGTCTGGCTGTCAGAAGCCCTAGCCACTCGCAGCTGCCACAATATTAGCTGGAGCTGTGCCTGCATTCACAATGTACCATACTGTATTCCTCCCTCTCAAAATGCCAGGTCCCAGTCTTCTCCAATCATTTAATGCTTTTAACCTAAACCTCCTTGTGTTTCAATTCTCCACCTATAAAACAGATGACAGTACCCTTTCTACCCAATGGGAGCTTGAAAAGATAACTTAGGGGTTGAGAAGCACTCAGATATAGCTCAGAGGGTGCATCTACATGTGACTATGTGCAGCAATAAGCTTCAGAGCTTATTGCTGCTGGGTGCACATCTGTTCAAGCACCTAGGACTGCAGCACACTGAGCCGGGCTGGAGCAGCTCTGGCTGGCAGGGGCCCTGAAGGTTAGGGTGCAAGCCTGAGGCTGCTTCCCCACTCAACATGCTGCAGAGGGGCTCCACTTCAGTTTGGGGCTAGCTGGCAGGCAGCCACCTCACTGAAACACCTTTGTAGCCCAGCCAGCATCTACATATGCACTGCTGTGGAGTTTTATACTCCGCATCAGATTAGTACTTGTATTTACAAGTACTACCCTGCTGTGGAGTAATTTAGTTTACTCCAGCCTAATAGGGGCACATGTGTAGACACTGAGATGTCTACTGCACAGCTAATTAGTCTACTGCAGAGTAAACATCTCATATAGATGTGCCCAGTGAATAGTGTACAGTCAAGAAGGCACAGAACTTTCAACAACCAGGATAAAGCAAAATACTGAAGTGTTGCTTATCCAATGAACACTGTCCATCTGCAGGCACTGAATGAGGCAGCAGTCCAGTAGCCAAATAACTCCACAGTCATGTATTTAATGCTGCATCATAATACAGGCATGTCTAGGGAACTGAACTGAGGTTAGAAAGACCACACAAAATTTGGCACCTCCCAATTTTTGAGTATTGGACTTTGCAACTTCAGCATTCTTTTACTGTAGGATTTTGTGTCCCATATAATGGGATTTACATGCAATATGTAGGATTAATGAAGTCTTTTCAGCTACACTTGATGGGCGGATACAACTTGTAGTGGATTAGAGGCAGCAGCCTCCAGGTCCTTGCAAGTGGAATAAGCAAAGAAAAATTATTCCCTTTTCCTTTTGGAAGAGATGAGTCAGAGATGTTTCTGCCTCCTGCAATCAAGTCCTTTCCTGTTGGCCCTGCGTTCCTTCACCTTCAGATCCCACAGCCAGAGACTTACCAGTGCAGGGGGCATCCAAGGTGTCTGATGTGGAGCGGTAGTATCGGTTCTGGCAGGCACACTCACTGGATCCAACCACTGGAGTGTGGCTGTGGGCAGGGCAGGGACGGCAGGGGGCATCTCCAACAGACCCTTTAAAGGAACCGATGGGACATGCTGAGGAAGGAAAGGAAACAGGCAGCTGAGAAGAAGGAATGCCACTGACATATCTTAGAAGGAGCATCAAACCCTTTAGGTTTAATTCAGGCATGCCAAACTCATCAGGCCCCGTGGGCTGGATGAATGGTGCAAGGCCAATCCTTGGGCCAGACAGGGCCCACAGACCAGCCTATAAGTCGGCTGCAGTGCATGAGGCCAGCCTGGGCCATACATTGCATGCAACACACACCCCGGACGAGCCCCGTGCTCTGCATGAAGAATGAGTCCTGGACCAGCCTTGCATGCTGCATGAAGTGCATGCCTGCCTTAGCCTCATGTGCAGTGTATGGGGCTGATCCTGCACATACCACATTGCAACACGTAGTTCCACTCCAAGACTCACCAGGTTCACCATGAGCCAGATAACAGGGCTCTGTGGGTTCAACCTGGCCCATGGGCCAGATCTCTGACACCCCTAGATTTAAACCTAGGTGGGGACTGGGAGAACCCCTCACAGTGACAGCCTATGGCAGTTTTGGCCACCTTGCCATGGGCCTGCTTTGAGCTGGAGTTTGTTGCATGTCTGAGCCTCATTGATTGACTAAAGCTGCCAGTAGAGCTGAAGTGACTTTGACAGGCCTCCTTTAAGGTTGATTTATCTATGGATAGCAAAAAACTAGGTTCATAGTTAATAGGGTTGGAAGGGACCTGAGTAGGGTCGGAAGGGACCTGAGTAGCAAGAAAATGGTGGATTAATTTGAAACAACTCTGACTTTCCTCACTTGCTGAACAGCACTAGCAGTGCAGAGCACTATCCTCCCCAACTCAGGATAGCAATATACCTAGCTCAAAATTGGCGTGACTTGAACTGAACCTTGCATTAGGAACCAGGCAGAAGTGTGGCCTGACTTGGCAGGCATGAAGAATCCCATAGGTGCAAACCAACTCTAGGGGTGAAAAAGGTTGCACAGGAAAAAGTACCAAGCAGAGAGAGGAGAAGTGGAAGAGTCCCTTATCAGCCTGAAAAGCATAATGTATGCCCCAAAGCTGAACATGCTTCATGGAGCTGCAGGAAAAAACAAGTCTAGGAATGTACAGGGAACTGGGCTTCCCCCTCCACTGAGAACTGTTGTTTGGGAACTGCTAAATTGAGTAAGACCTAAGGAACTCCATTGCTGTTCCTCAGAGAGAAGTGGTTCTGCAAAAACTGGGTCCTCCTGGGTTTATTCGTATGGTACATTCGTGTCCCCTTTGCAAACCATTATTTCTCCCTAGCTACCGGTTCTGGGAATGCTGCCTGGAATATAGCTGGGTTTTGTGGACTGGTTTGCTTGTATTTATTTTCCGTTCTGTCCCACACACCCTCACTCACTCTGTCTCCTCTACTGGGACCCAGCCAGAATAGAATCCAGATCACTGCAAAGATTTCAGGCCCCAGAGCGAGCATATAATTTGTACCCGCAAAGCACAAACCAGAGGATTTCATAATTCCTTCCCTCTCTGCCCTGCTCAGGCTTTGTGGCTGAGCTACGACACAACTTTTTGGAAGGAGATATAATCCGCATTTAAAGTTTTCAAGTGAGGGAGAATCCACCACATCGCCTGGTAAATTGTTTCAAGAGTTCATTAGGCTCAGTTAAATTTGGTGCCTTAGTTCCTGTCTGAATTTGTTTGGCTTCGGCCTCCAGTCCCTGGCTCTTGTTATGCCTTTGTCTGTTAAAGAGCTCTCTAACTAACAGAAATCTCTCCCCTTGTAGGCACTTGTAAACAATGAACAGGCCACCTCTTATCTTTCTCTTTGCTAAACAAAGTATATTGAGCTCCTTAAGTCTCTTGCCTCTAAGGCAGGTTTTCTAGACCACAAACTCTTCTTGTAACACTTTTTTTAACACTTTCCTATCTTTCCAAAAGCCTTTCGAACAGGGCTCGCCTGATCACACAGGGCTCCCCTACAGACCTGCGGAGAGCCTGCTGCGCTGGAAATTCAGTGTGTTGGAGCAGACTTGCTTCTGGAGCACGGAAATTGATGTGCTCCAGCAGCCTTCCGTGTTGTGTGTATCAGCATCCCTGCGCTGAAAAAATGGCGGTGGGGCGCTTTGAACTAAAACAAGTTGGATGAGCTTTAGTCCAAAGCGCCTCACTGCCATGTTTCAGTGTGGGGAACGCTGATACCCATGACACACGGGCGCGTTTAATTAGCTCAGGTCACTAATTAAAGTACCTGGTGCCACGTACTGGAGCACATGTAAAAATGCCCAGAGATTCTGCTTTGTGAAACATTGGGTGGTTCTACAGTTTTTCAGCCCACAATGGGCCAAAAGTGAGAACTTTCAAATTTGATCATGGGAAAATCCCTGAGTGGAAAAACAGAGAAACCAACAGCCCTGCAGGATGGATGCTCCCCTAGGACCTGTGACAGTGGCTAGAGATAGATACTACACAGAAACTGGTATAAGCGATGGGAAACTGGTTCAAATTTATAACACAATAGAACAGGGGTTTTCAACCTTTTTAAATAAGTATACCCCTGGCAGCCCCCTTTTTAATAAGTGTACCCCTGGGGGAGGAGGTGGTGGTGAGCAGCCAGATGCTGAGCCGGGGGGGGAGGGAAGGGAGGTACCCCCAATTGACAACCCCTGCAATAGAAGTTCAGTGGACATAAACCACTTTCAAAATGGCCAAAACCAAACCTGGATGGGTGTAGTATCAGACTTAACTGATTTAGGTTAAATTGGTTTATTAAACTTCTGTCCCAGATCCCCTCCAGATTCAAATTAATTCACAGTCCCCCAGCATCCCAGGATGCTTTGCACCTCCCCCCAAACCTCCCTCACAGAGTGGGCAGGCTAACTTTGGCCCAAGCTGTTTCAGCCCAACAGGGAGGCGAGTTCTAGCACCCCCCGGCTTAGATTCAGAGATTGTAAGGCCAGAAGGGACCTCGGAAGATCATCGGGTCCAGTCCCCTGCACCAAGCAGGAAAGATAAGTGGGGGTCAGGTGACCCTAGCAAGGGGACTGTCTAGTCTCCTCTTGTAGATTTTCAGGGTAGATTTGCACCACCTCTGGAGGGAGCTTATTCCACTGTCTAGACACCCTGACTGCGAAGAAGTTTTTCCTAATGTTAAGCTTGAATCGATCTTCCAGGAGTTTGTGGCCATTACTCCTGGTTTTTCCCTCAGGTGCCCTGGTGAACAGCTGCTCACCGAACCCTTGATGTACTCCCCTAGTGTAGCGGTTAGTTGCTACCGGGTCCCTTCTCAGTCTTCTTTTCCTCAGGCTGCAGAGTCCCCGATCCCTCAGCCTTCCCTCATATGGCTTGCCTTTTAAGACTCTGATCATATGGGTGGCTCTTCTTTGGACTCTCTCAACCTTTTCCATGTCCTTGTTAAAGCGTGGTGCCCAGAACTGGATGCAGTACTCCAGCTGCCGTCTCACCACTGCTGAGTACAGTGGAAGAATCACCTCCTTGGCTTTGCTGGAGATGCATCGATTGATGCATGCCAAAGTATTATTTGTCCTACTCACTACAGCATCGCACTGCCAGCTCATATTCATGCTGTGGTCTATTATTACCGCCAGGTCCCTTTCATTCATGGTGCAAGTCAGTTTGGTGCCGCCAAGACCGTAGGTGTGTTGGGGGTTCCTCGTCCCGAGGTGGAGCACTTTACATTTCTCAATGTTGAACTTCATCAGGTTCTGATCCACCGAATTTGCTAGCCTGTCTAGGTCCATCTGTATCTGCAGCCTATCTTCAAGTGTGACCACACTCCCCCATAACTTGGTGTCGTCCACAAACTTGGCCAGTGAACTCTTCACCCCCACATCCAAATCATTAATAAAGATGTTGAAAAGTACTGGACTGAGCACCAACCCCTGTGCGATACCACTGCCCACTTCTCGCCAGGATGACACAGATCCGTTCATTACGACTCTCTGGATCCTATCCTGCAGCCTGTTTCTCATCCACCTGATTGTCTCAGAGTTAAGCTCACAATCCTCCAATTTTCTTGCGAGGATACTGTGGGATACAAGATCAAAGGCCTTTTGGAAGTCTAAGTATACAATGTCAACCTGTTCTCTTGTGTCCAGGTAGCGAGTTACCTGGTCATAGAAGGAGATGAGGTTGGTAAGGCAAGGCATGCCCGTGATGAAGCCATGCTGGCTGTCATTCAGAATCTTACCTTCTGCAAACTTATCGCAGATAGACTCCTTCATGAACTTTTCTCAGATTTTCCCTAGGACAGAAGTTAGGCTGATTGGCCTATAGTTAACTGGGTCCTCCCTCCTCCCCTTCTTGTAGATGGGTACAACACTGGCCCTCTTCCAGTCTTCAGGGACTTCTCCAGAGTGCCACAAGTTGTGGAAGAGTTTTGCCAGGGGTTCTGCAATGATTTGGCCAGCTCCTTCAGCACTCTTGAATGAAGACCATCAGGTCCTGCTGACTTGTATATGTCTAATTTTATTAACTGGTCATATACCAATTCTCCAGTAATAGTAGGAAGGCTATTATTCCTACTATGCTCATCCTCTACTCTACCTGGAGTGGTTTTCCTCTTGGCCCAGTGAAAGACTGAGGCAAAGTAGTCATTCAGCAGTTCAGCTTTCTCCTGGGTGCCAGTAACCAGCTCTCCTGAGTCGTTGAGCAATGATCCCACACTCCCATTTGTTTTCCTCCTGTTCCCTACATATCTAAAGAAGGATTTCTTGTTGTCCTGGATTCCTGGTGCTAATCTAAGTTTGGTTGCCAGTTTAGCCTTTCTTATCTATTCCCCACAAATGCGGGCGATGGTGGAATAGTCGTCCTGGGGGCCTGCCCCGAGCTTCCATTGTTTATAAGCCTCTTTCTTCTTTCCTAAGAGGACTGTGATTTCCCTGTTTAGCCAAGAGAGCTTCCCAGCCCTTCTGTTACCTTTTCTCCACATGGGAATAGACTTCCTTTGTTCTTCAAGGATCGCGTCGTTAAGGAACAGCCACTCTTCATGCACACCTTTTGCCTTTGGTCCCTGGTCCAGCAGCACT